CGTCGAATCCTCCGTGCGCACCGGAAGATGCAACCCGCGAATATCGAGTAACCGCGATTACGTTCGATCCGCCGACGGAACCACCCAAGGTACCACGTACCGCTAGCCCACGAGACCCCAGAGGGCCGTACTTCAAATATCTAAGGACGGAAATACTTCATCACTACCAGGACGGGATCGCTCCAACCCAAGGATCCCCCAACATAACAGAGTTAAAAGCACAGGCCAGACTGCGGACCCTGTCACAGCATCGCGTCATCCACTGGTTACAAGGGTCCACCCCTGCTGAGCCTGGTGTAACTACCCCAGCGCAGTCATCTCAAGGTTAGGGCTAATTGGTAAGTCCTCAAGATCTATACTCTCCGCGTTCTTAGCTCTCCTTTTCATTGGACACTCGTGCCGTTACCCCTTTTGATCGCGCGTATTCCCGGGGAGAACCGCGGAGGTTCGCTTGACCCGAAAATAGCGATCTGCCCCGCGCGACCGTCCGAGCCCCGCATCCACCCTTTGCGGCCGCGACCCGCCGGGACGTGACAGTGGTCGGCTCTGTGGACGGGGCCGCGGCGTGGTTGCTGGTCTCGGCTGGCGGCGGACGGGCGGCCGGTGGCGGTCGTTCTTCTGCGTCGCGTCGTACGGTGCGTATTCGTATGGCGGCACAATTGTCTGCTCAGCTTGGTCGGCGACTGGCGGCATGTTGTGCGGTGGGCCCCTGGTTTCCGTGCTGGTGGTAGTGGCTCCTGTCCCGTGGCCTGGATGTTGGTGGCGGAGGGGCGGTGAGCCAGGCCAGCTTGTATTTATTTCAAAACCAGTTTTTATTTATTTCAAAAAATATTTATTTATTCTTCCAAATCTATTTCGTCGCCTTCAAAGTAATCCCTTCCCGACACAATACACTTATGCCAACGTATTTTCCAGTCCTCGAAACAAGAATTAAAGTCGCCTTCCGGGATGGCTTTCAGAGCGCGTAGCGATTCACGTTGTATCTCTTCTATCGTCTCAAAACGATTTCCCCGTAGTGATCTTTTGAGTTTTGGGAATAGCCAGAAGTCACACGGTGCTAAATCAGGCGAATACGGTGGTTGTGGAGCGATATGAATCGAATTTTTGGCGAAAAAGTCACGAAGAATGAGTGCAGTGTGAGAAGGTGCATTATCGTAATGCAAAAACCAAGAATTGTCTGCCCACAATGGTATTGGCAGATCCTTTCGAAATACCAACAGCATCAGCAAGGTCTCTAACAATCATTCGACGATTAGCAAGCACAAGTTCCTTGATTTTCTTGACGTGTTGTTCATCGGTAGAGGTTGATGGTCGTCCGGAACGCTCTTCGTCTTCAACACTTTCACGACCTTCTTTGAACTGTTTATACCACTTGTAAACATTCCTTTTCGACAAAGCATGGTCCCCGAAGGCTTTCTGCAACATCCTGAACGTTTCTGCGCCCGAAATTTCATTCCGCAAACAAAATTTAATGCAACTTCTTTGCTCAATATAACTAGACATTGTAAAAATCGCCGAATGCACTTTTAGCGTCGTACAAAACCAAACGTGAAGCAAAAAGTAATGAATGTTTTGACATGAAATTTGTCACAGATGTCTGTCACAATGCTGCCAACTTAGAGAAAAAATATTTATGATGTGCGGTTTACCCGCGCGATTTAAATTGAAAACTGGTCTTACTTTTTGGATACAGTAGTATTATTGTCCTTGAAATAAAATAATTTTTGTCAATTTATATCTGATATATTGACATTTTTGGCTCATAATTTTCCTTCATAATTCATAACAATTTTAACATAATTTTCTATAATTAATTTTGTTATAAAGTATTTGTGGTTGATAAAGTTTTCAAGAAAGTCTAATTCTTTTCATTACTTGTACTATACTATTAAGTGGCACATAGTAAAACTTAAGCAGTAAGATGTAAGCAGTAAACGAATCCGCCAATTACAGTCATTGATTCTTGGACTGTAAGAAGAATCAACGACTGTGATTGGTCAATTTGCTTACTACTTACGTTTTACTGCTTAAGTTTTTCTGTGTGTCACAGCCTTAAGAAAAATCAACTGTTTATGTCTTACTGCTTAAGTTTTTCTGTGTGCCACGGCCCTTAGGTCTTTCCAATACGTATCACCATGTGATACGCGGATATACAGGGTGAATATTATATACCGGAACACCTGAATATCTCGAAAACAGAGCGTTGTATAAAAAAATGTTAAATACAAAAGTTGTAGGGTTTAAAAAGATCTATTTTATGATATTAGCAGTTTGACCTTGAGTTGCGTCAT